GTTTCAGGTTTTGGGACTACTAACTTGAGTCTTGATATGTCTCTATCTTCCATGTTATTTGTTCCTCAGTTTCCTTTTAGTTTACTTTCCATTAGCAAGATTATCTGTTCTCTCAATTGTTCTGTAACTTTTTATCCCTCTTATTGTGTCTTTCAGGATCTCAAGACAAAGAGGAAGATTGGTACACGGCATGAAGCTGGTGGCCTATATTATCTTGACTTTGATTCACTTACCCAGGCTCTACAGACCTCGTTGTCTCCTTTTCAATGGCATTGTCATTTTGGACATCCCTCTCTCCATAATTTGAAGCTACAAGTCTCCAGTTTTAGTTATGTGTCGTCTTTGTCCTGTGAAGCTTGTCAACTTAGTAAGCATCATCGTTTGTCATTTCAGTCTAGAGTCAATAATCGTGTGTCTAATCCATTTGAATTAATGCATTCTGATGTATGGGGTCCAATAAAGAATATTTTATCTAATAAATATCCTTATTTTGTGACATTTGTGGATGACTATTCTCGTGTAACTTAGTTATTTTTTATGAAAGCTCAGTCTGAATTATTCTCTACATTTTGAGATTTTTCGTAAGGAACTAAAAACTCAGTTTGGTTGTCGTATACGTACTTTACGTTCTGATAATGCTCGGGAATATGAATCTGATCCTTTTTCAGCTTATCTTAGTAAAACTGACATTATTCATCAGACTTCTTGTGCTCACACCTCTTCACAAAATGGAGTTGCTGAATGCAAGAACCGTCATTTGTTGGAAGTCACCCGTGCCCTGTTATTCTAGATGAATATTTTCCGATATTTTTGGAGTGATGTTGTTCTTACTACTTGTCATCTTATTAATCATATGTCATCCTCTGTGTTAAATGGGCATAGTCCATATTCTGTCCTTTTTCCTAGTACGCCCTTATTTTCCCTGACTTCTAAGATTTTTGGATGTATCTGTTATGTTCACAATTTAGGTTCTGGGTTTGACAAACTTGACCCTCGAGCTACCAAATGTGTATTTCTTGGTTACTTTCGCACGCAGAAGGGGTATCTTTGCTACAGTCCTTTTCTGCACCGATACTTTACTAGTGTCGATGTCATGTTTGAAGAATTTGTTCCATACTTTCCAGCACCTTCTCAGCCTTTGGATCTGGACTTTGGATCATCTTCTGTACCACCATCTTCAGATATTCTGCTGCCCACTGTGTTACCATCTACTTTGCCTCTCCGTGTCTACTCTCGCCGTCCTTATCCATCGACTAAGATGCCCGTACCGTCTTCCTTGCCGCCTTTTGATCCTGCTGCATTAGGTAATTTAGACTCTTTACCTATTGCTCTTTGCAAAGGTACTCATTCGTGTGTTACTAATTATCCTATTTCTCATTTTGTTTCATATGATGCCTTGTCTTCTGTCTTCTCCTGTTTTACTTCCCAATTATCTGCTATATTTATTCCTAAGTATTTACAGGATACATTATCTAATCCGGGTTAGAGAAAAGCTATAGAGGAGGAGATGGATGTTTTACATCATAATGGGCCTTGGGATCTCGTTTCTTTACCCCCTAGTAAATGAACTGTTGGTTGTCGTTGGGTGTATATTGTTCAATTTCATCTAGATGGTTCTGTGGAGCGTCTCAAAGCCTGACTTGTTGTAAAGGGCTTTACTCAAACTTGTGGTGTTGATTATGAGGAGAATTTGTCTCCTGTTGCCAAAATTTCCTCTATTCGTATCTTGATCTTTTTGACTGCTAATCTTGATTGGCCCTTGTTTCAGCTAGACATCAAGAATGCCTTCCTACATGGTGACTTGGTTGAGAAGGTATACATGGAGTAGCCACCTGGGTTTACTGCTTAGGGGGAGTATGGTAAGAGTGTATGTCGGTTAAAGAAATCTTTGTATGGTTTGAAACAGGCACCGAGGGCATGGTTTGGTAAGTTTTCAGATGCAGTTTTAGAGTTTGGTCTTCTTCGATGTCAGACAGATCATTCTGTATTTCATAGACAGACAGATACTGGATATGTCTTATTGGTGGTCTATATAGATGATATTGTGATTACTGGAAATGATTTTGAGGGGATTGCCAAGTTAAAAATATTCTTACAGGATCGATTTCATACTAAGGATTTAGGAAAACTCAGATATTTCTTCGGTATTGAGGTGACTCGATCTAAATAGTGTATTTGCTTATCCCAGAGGAAATATGTACTTGATATGCTTGAGGAAGCAGGTTTGCTGGATGGTAGACCGATTGATGTTCCTATGGATCCAAATCAGAAATTATTAATGGATGATGGTGCATTGTTTGAGAATTCGGGTCGGTATCGTAAATTGGTTAGGAAGTTTAATTGTCTCACTATTACTCGACTGGATATTTCCTATGCAGTCAGTATAGTAAGTCAGTTCATGGGATGTCCCAGAGTACCACATTGGGAGGCAGTTACTCGTATTCTGTGATACCTCAAACGAGCTCTTAGACTTGGACTGTTATATCGAGCTAATGGACATCTTAGAGTGGAAGGTTTCTCCGATGCTGATTGGGCTGACTCTCCTTCTGATCGGAGATCAACCACCAGTTATTGTACTTTATCAGGAAGTAATGTTGTCTCATGGAAAAGTAAGAAACAACCCGTGATAGCAAGATCCAATGCTGAGGCTGAGTATAAGGCAATGACACATACGACAAGTGAGTTGACTTGACTACTACACTTTCTCCAAGAAATTGAGTTTCCAGTTCAACTTCCTTGACAGTTGTTCTTTGACAACCAGACAACTATCCATATCGCTGTCAATCCTGTATTTCATGAGAGAACCAAGCATATTGAGGTTGATTGTCACTATATTTAAAACAAGATAGTAGCTAGGGAGATTACAACTCCATTTGTGAAATCTGAAGATCAGCTTGCAGATATGTTTACCAAAGCATTGAGTCGTACATGTCTTACAACTATTTGTTCTAAGCTTGGATTACATGATATATATAGTCCTGCTTCAGGGTGAGTGTTAAGAATAATAGGGTAGTATGTGTAATTCTTAATAGTACGAGGGTGTATGTATAATTTTTATTATTGTAGGTTAAGTATAAATACAAGTGATGTATGAAAGTTAGGTTAAGTTTTCAACCTCTCTTTTTCTCCCTATTATTGTCTATAATATTGTGTTATGTTAATCCTATCAACTTAACACACATAACTCTTTTTCCACGCATTCAAATCTTTTTTGCACTCTTTCCACAACAGGATTCCAAAATTTTAGGAATAAAGGATTACCCCCCAATAGAAGACCTAGATACTTTAATGGCCACTCTCTTGTCTCACACTCATCCAATCTCATTCAATCACGACGGGGGAGCAAATGAAAATAGAAAAACCCAAATTGGGTTTAGGGATAATCAGGCTTGAATTGATGACTTCCACCAAGTCAAGGTGACACCCTACTACTGAGTGATATCCCTTCCCTGCCCCCATCGAGAAATAGAACTGACTAATCCTAAGTTAAAAGGTATCTTCTATCTTACTCCTAGAAGAGTTAATGTCGACAACTAAGCCCTTGGACATATTCACTTCAACCCCAAAACCAAGCTAAAAGTCCTTAATAATTTCCACCAAATTCTAAAATTTTTGCTCGTCTTTAGATGAGAAAAAAATGGTGTCATCCACAAGCTAAAGATGAAAACTTTAATCCTATCATTCCCCACTAGAAAACCTTCCACTAAATTATATTCCACTCCTCTCTCGGCCAATCTACTCAATCCATCAACAATCAAAGTAAAAAAGAAAAGGTGAGTGGATCCCCAATCTCAAACCCCTAGAAGCATTAAATCTTTCCCTTGGTTTACCATTTAAAACCACTGTGAAATTCATAGAAGACAAATAACAACTAATCCATCTCCTTCAATGGGGAGCATGTAGTATGAACCTATTGATTAGACATCTAATTTGGCAAGTGTGATGGACATGTGAAAAGAATGTAATACACCTGTTATTTTCAGCCAATATTCACACTATGACCTGTTGTTAAATGGTATGCACCAACACACTCTTTTCTATTAGCCTAAGCATCTTCGCTAACTCGCTCGCCTACTATGAAACTACAACAGATGGAAATGGATCCTGCCTCACAGAATCCATGTGATTTTCTATGTAAATCTTGCTGTTGATTCATGTTAACTTGGTTGAGTGAGTTTCTAATATGTAAACTTCTAACTTCACCCCGTGAGATTCTAATTTAAAGTCCTGTCATATAGTACAAGAGCAGCCACAGTAGGATAAGAGACCCAAACCCTATGCACTTGAAAAAGCAAACAAATAAAAATACTCAAATCCTTTGCACATCAATCCTAATTGAAGAAGAAGTCCATGCTGGGTTGAGGAAGATAAACTCTGGACTGAATGAGACATATTTCTTGAATGCATTTGATTCTTTGCATCTCCCAATCATGCACGAAATAACCCTCTTTTTGTTGACATCTGATCATTCAGGTGGCAATTTCAAGATGTCAGAATGGGATAGGACTTGCCATAGTTACCCCAGCTATTCTATCCCTTGTTGCTGATTCTACTGATGACAGCAATTGAGGCATGGATTTTGGATAGCTACAGTTAACAACAAAATTTTTGCTCGTTTCTGGTTGAGACAAAAATGGTGTCATCTGCAAATTGAAGATGAAAACTTTAATCCTATCATTCTCCACTAGAAAACCTTCCACTAAATTATATTCCACTTCTCTCTCGACCAATCTACTCAATCCATCAACCACCAAAATAAAAAGAAAAGGTGAGCGGATCCCTAGTCTCAAACCCCTAGAAGCATTGAATCTTCCCCTTGATTTACCATTTAAAACCACTGTGAAATTCATAGAAGACAAATAACAACTAATCCATCTCCTTCAATAGGGAGCATGGAGTATGAACCTATTGATTAGACATCTAATTTGACAAGTGTGATGGACATGTGAAAAGAATATAATACACCTGTTATTTTCAGCCAATAAATGAACTGTTGTTAAATGGTATGCACCAACGCACTCTTTTCTATTAGCCTAAGCCTCTTCGCTAACTTGCTTGCCTACTATGAAACTAAAGCAGATGGAAATGGTTCCTGCCTCACTGAATCCATGTGATTTTCTATGTAAATCTTGCTGTTGATTCATGTTAACTTGGTTGAGTGAGTTTCTAATATGCATTATGGTAAACTTCTAACTTCATCCCGTGAGATTCTAATTGAAAGTCCCCTTATATAGTGCAAGAGCAGCCACAGTAGGATAAGAGACCCAAATGCCATGCAGATTGATACTTGGAAAAACCCTACGCACTTGATAAAGCAAACAAATAAAAATACTCAAATCCTTTGCACATCAATCCTAATTGAAGAAGTCCATGCTGGGTTGGGGAAGATAAATCTGGACTGAATGAGACATATTTTTTGAATGCATTGACACTTTGCATCTCCCAATCATGCACGAAATAACCTTTTTTTGTTGACATCTGATCATTCAGGTGGCAATTTCAAGAGGTCTGAATGGGATAGGACTTGCCATAATTACACCAGCTATTCTGTCCCTTGTTGCTAATTCTACTGATGACAGAAATCGAGGTATGGCTTTTGGATGGCTACATTTAACAGCAAACTTTGGCTTAATCATTGGTGGGCTTTGTTCTGTGCTGATTGCCTCAACATCATTCATGGGCATCCCTGGTTTGTGGATTACCTTCCATCTTGTTGGACTAATAAGTGTTATCGTTGGAATTTTGGTCCGCCTATTTGCCAATGATCCCTAAGTTTTTTTAATTCTGATAATAAAACTAAAGCTCATATTCCACCAAAACCCTGTGCCTCAAAAGTAAAGGACCTGATTAAAGAAGCAAAGGCAGTTGTGAAAATTCCATCATTCCAAATAATTGTTGCTCAATGTGTATATGGTTCATTTCCTTGGTCATCATTATCATTTGCCCCAATGTTAGAGCTCATTGGGTTCTCCCGCAAAGAAACGGCATTTCTCTGGATTGTTTTTGTCATTGCCACTTCACTTGGGGGTCAATTCGGGGGAAGGATGGGGGATATCCTCTCAAAACGGTTGCCAAATTCCGGGAGAATAATTCTCTCATAGATAAGCTCTGGTTCAACCATTCCTTTAGCAGCAATATTGCTGCTTGTATTGCCTGATGATCCTTCAACTGTGTTTATCCATGGCTTGGTTTTATTCATCATGGGATTAATCATATCCTAGAATGCTGCAGCTACGAACAAGTATTTCTCTATTGACCATTTATGTTTTTTCTCCTTATCTTTGAGAATAACAGGGTGTTTATGGGGTGTTGGAGCTGTGAACTAGAAGTGTGTGGAATATTCTATTGTGGGGTTTGGCAGGTAAGAACTTTACAAGATATGATGAATAGCTTCTTTGAATCTCTCTAGTTTCACACTTCTGAGTGCCACTATATAATTTTTTGGGTTCTATGTCATATTGGATAATATTGGAAACCATGATCTTCGAATCTCTAGCTTTCGCTTGTGAATATTCACATGAACAGAAGTGGGGCATAATCATAATAGGGACTCTAAAATTACTTTCAGAGCTATTAGATGCCACACAAAACTTCTGAAAAAACCCAACTTATGGTTAAAAGTGCTTCTGGCTTTTGGAGGGGAATACTTTCAGAGCAATTGAAATCGCTTCTTCCAAATGCACTACTATACCATGCATCACATGTAGCACTTAGGCATGAAACAACATCAGAAATTTTGATGATTTATTTAACCATGCATTTTTGTTTTTATGTCTACAGTCCAATATTTGCAGAGATAGTTCCAGAGAGATCTCGAACGAGCATCTACGTTTTGGATCGATCCTTTGAATCCATATTAGCATCATTTGCTCCTCCTATAGTTGGAATTTTGTCTCAGCATGTATACGGTTACAAACCTGTTACAAAAGGAGCAACAGATTCTCAAGAGATTGAAACAGATAGAGAAAATGCTACAGCACTTGCCAAGGCACTCTACACAGCGATTGGCATTCCACTGGCTATCTGTTGCCTCATCTACTCCTTCTTATACTCTACTTATCCAAGAGATAGGGAACGGGCAAGAATGGATTCCTTAATAGAATCAGAAATGCAAGAGATGGAGATGGACAATCCTTCAGGACAAGTATACTCCCAAACTCGTATTTCACAATCAGATGAGCTACATGGAAAAGAGAGGAGTGTGATTGAAATCGGTTACGAAAAAGGGGAAAGCCTTGATTTTGATGAAAATGATGAGAACAGACTCCTTTCCCATCAGCTCACATTTTCAGATCTTGGCAAATATGACTCTGGGAATGCAGCAAGCTAAGACTATTACTCCTAACAACTCAGATTATGAAACCTTCTGTTTGATATACATAGAACCCAAAGTATCATTATTCCTCTTATAAAAAAAAGGTATCCTTATTCCAAATTTATAGAAATATTACTGGCAAGGAGAGCACATATGGAATCTGTACAGTATGTAGCCATTATGCTTCCGTGGTTTTGATGGATGTTGATATGTTAAAAGATCCATATACGAACATTGTGACATCTATGGATATTGGGTAAGTTTATTCTGTTGTAATTCATTTGGGAATTAGTTTATATGGTTTCGTGTAATGTTAAGCTTAGTTTATGTATTGCATACGTAAATGTGTGGATTGTAAAACTTACAAAAATGGTTTGTGACGATTACTGATTATTATTGTTATTGTGGCCAAGATCCTCCTAAGGGTCATTCCGGAGCACAGTTTTATGCATTGTTAACAGAGATAATGACTAGTTCAACCTGCCCTTGTCTTGGAAAGCAATAGATGTCATCAGATATTGTCATATTGATTTGTATCAATCTAATTGTAACAAACCTCTATAAATACTAGTACTCTTACAATGAATAATATAGAATTTTTTTTTAGGTTTTGTTATTCCTATATGGTATTTGATGGTACTACAAAAATACCTAAATTTATATTATTTGCAGACCTTGACCTCATACCTCAACTCCCCGTATTCACATCTCAAGGAAAGTTATGCAAAGGACAGCTGAATTCTATCAAGCACTCCGTTTTGTAGCAACAGTTATTCAGTAGACACAAGTCTTGTAATTGCCCCAACATCCACTACAGCCATTGCGCAAATAAAGTCGACCGTAACGAGGAAGGGGCGAGGATCTCACCTCAAATCAAGCTAAGGCCCAGTGATAACTATAAATAGGGGACAAAACCCTCGAAAATGACAACAGACCATATTAACCTCACCAGAAACATTTCTGTGTAAACTTTCAAGTAATCAATATATTCAGGAGGAAGAGACTCCCTTGAGAGTGGATTACCCAAGCTCCCGAACTGGTGAATCATTATAAACGCTCTATGTAATCACCCATCTATTACCAAATCCTATTCGCTAGAGCCTTGGATCTCATATTGAACTGCATCTACCTATTCAGTGCACCTTATATTCGCATCACTGTTCAATCGTGTTAAGAACATCATCAGTATCATAGCAGAATCTTACCCTATCCTCTCTTTAAAAACAATATTCCATCATCTTCAACATGAGCAGCTCTTCCACAGATGTGGAAAACACATCAAGGCCGCAACCATCGTTCACTCATCCTTCGTTTCTTATGCTCAATGCTCACATAGCCATTCTTGCTACAAAACTCACTGAAACCAATTACCCCATTAGGATTTCCCAAATTTTGCTGCATCTCTGCGGTCACCAACTTCTTGCCTATATTGACGGCACCATCAAGTGTTCTCTCAAGACAATAACATGTGTTTCAACTTACCATTGAACAAGATTTGTGTTCCTTGGCTATAGCTCCTCCCATCACAGTTATCCCAGCGTCGATCCAACATTCCAAAAAATTTACATCTCATATTTATGTTGCCTTGTTCGCTTGACAGACCAGCAAGCAGCTCTTAAAATTCCTCCTTTATTGCCTGACTTTATTATTCTCCCATCTCCGTCTCTTGTTCTACCTGTCTACTCTTCTTCTCCAATATCGACTGTCGTTGTTACTGTTCAAACACCTTGTCCAGTGCCTAGCATCACAACTTTCCTCCTCTATAGAAACACCTGCTTTACCAATTCACCATCAATCAGACACCACTACCCAGTGCCAATACGACCAGCATCCACACCCTCTATCGTTTCTCATACCTAACCTGTCACTTTTAAACCACCTAGTAACACCCATGCAATGGTTACTCAATCTCATGACAGTACTCTTCAACCCAAAATCATCAACTATACTACTAAACACCCAATGCCTCAATGCTACCTTATTCAATCGCCATCTAAAATAATTTCATTTGGACTCATTGCTACCTCTCGCATTCCGGCCTCGCACACTGCCATTACAGAGGAGTTCTATTGCATTGATTAAAAATGACACTTGGACACTCGAACATCCTCGGCCCCAAATCAATATTATTGGCTGCAAGTGGATCTGTCAAATCAAAAAAACAACTAATGAAACAATTGAGCACTATAAAGCATGCCTTGTCACCAAAGACTTCAATCAACAAGAGGGCATTGACTACACTGCAACATTTAGTTTCATCATTAAACCAGTCACCATCTGCACTGTTTTAAGCATTGCCACCTGCCGTGGTTGGCCAATATGGCAACTGCATGTCAACAATGTGTTCTTTCATGGAATTCTCAATGAGGTCATCTATATGACACAAACTTCAAGCTTCATTGATTTTCAATTTTCAAATCATGTGTGCCGCCTTTTAAAATCCTTATATGAGTTCAAGCAAGCATTTTGTGCTTGGTTTGCACAACTAAGTAATTTTCTCATTAGTCATGGCATTACCTCCTCCCAAACGGACACTTCTCTATTTACTCGCCTTGCCTCCAACTCTTTCCTTTATGTGCTATTGACATTGACAATCTAATTATCACTAGAAGCTCCACGACGTCCATCCATTCTTATTACCCAGTCCAACAAGGAATTCTCTATAAAGGATCTTAGTCCTCTTTACTTCTTCCTCAGCATCTGTTGTGATGACTTGTATTCAAGTCAATTATTTTTTATATGGACTCTAGTTGAAGACATGAGTTTTCATTGGAGTCATTGATAGACAAGTTTGACCTTAATTAGAATTATCTTAGTTTTATTATTTTAGTGGAGTTTAGTCCAACATGGACTTTTGTTGTTTAAACTCAAAACCTTCAAGGAGTCTTTAATTTTTTGTCCTACACGTGAGACCTCCTCAGCATAAAGACTTTGTGAATGAATCAAATTTCTTAGTCCAGAAGCTAGATAAAAAGGAAGTCTTCCCTAGTGAGTTGATATTGCTCTATTTTGTTAAATCCAATAAATATTTTATTATTGGAATAGAGCAAATATCTAGTTTTCTCGTTGATTTGTTTGAGAACGTTGTAATATCCAACCTTTTTAATAGTAAAATTTTGACGTTGTGTTTCGTTCGTGGATGTAGGCTTGCTTGTTGAGCCGAATCACATAAATTTTTGTGTTCTATTTTTCTATTTTGTTGCGTTATTATTTTACTTGTGGTTTAGTTCATAAAAAATTGGTATCAGAGCTATTGGTTTCTGGATGGCTACCACAAAATTCGAGATAGAAAAATTTGATGGTCAGAAAAATTTCAATTTATGGCAGATCAAGATGAAGGCATTGCTTCGTCAGCAGGGTTTGGCAAAGGCCATTGATAAACTTTATCCAAGGAGACAAATCAAACTAAAGTTGTTGATATTGAAGAAAAAGCACACAATGCAATTTAGTTGTCTCTTGCTGATGAAGTTCTTCGTGAGGTTATTGATGAAGACAAAGCCGAAGGGTTATGAAAAAAGTTGGAGAGTTTATATATGAAGAAGTCTCTCACCAACCGCTTGTATCTGAAGCAACGGTTGTACACACTCAAGATGAAAGAAGGTACGCCCATTAATGAACATCTTGATGAATTTAACAAAATTATTATTGACTTGAAAACTATTGATATTAAAATTGGGGATGAAGATCAAGCCCTGATTGTGTTATGCTCGCTGCCCTGATTCATTTGATAATTTTGTTAATTCGATGTTGTATGGGAGAGACTCAATCTCTTTAGTTGATGTGAAATCCTCTTTGAATTCTAAGGAATTGTGTACTAAATTGAATCGTAAGGGCAGTGATACTCAAGCCGAGGGTTTATTTGTGAAGGGTCGTCATGATAATTCCTCTAATAATAATAGAGGTCGATCCATTGAAAGAAATTCAGATAAAGAAAAAAAAAGTTGGATATCGATCACAGTCTAGGAAGAAATAGAATAATGTTGAATGTTTTTATTGTCATAAAATTGGTCATTATAAGCATGATTGTTTTAAGTTGAAAAATAAAGGGGACAAAAAAAATCAAATCCTTCCAATTCCTCTAGTGTTGCTGGTGTTGCAGAAGATACATCTGATGGTTCAGATAATGTCCTTAAAGTCTCTGATGGATGTTTTAATGATGAATGACTTCTTGATTCGGGTTATTCCTATCATATGTGCCCTAATAGGGATTGGTTTACCACCTATAAATCAGTCAATGGTGGTTCAGTCTTGATGGGAAATAATGTTGCTTGCAAGACTGTTGGAATAGGTACTATCCGAATGAAGACACATGATGGGGTTGTGAGGACTTTGACAGATGTACAACATATTCCAGAATTAAAGAAGAATTTGATTTTCTTGAGTACTTTAGATTTCATTGGTTGCAGGCTTTCTGCTAAAGGTGGAGTTATGAAAGTCTGCAGAGGTTCCCTGGTTGTGATGAAAGGTAAAAAGATTAATGGCTTCTATGTTCTTCATGTTGATACTATGATTGGTGCGGCTAATGTGTCATCTTCAAAAATTCCAGATTCAGATACTACCTAGTTATGACATATGCGTTTGGGTCACATGAACGAGAGGGGCATGAAAGTCTGGTGTAAACAGGGTTTGCTTGGCAAACAAGAAATTGAGAAACTTGATTTTTGTGAGCATTGTGTCTTTGGGAAACAGTGCAGAGTCAAGTTCAGTACAGCTATTCACAGGACTAAAGGTATAGTTGATTATATTCATTCAAACCTTTAAGGTCCTTCTCAGGTTCCATCTAAGGGTGGTGCTCGGTTCCTTTTGACCTTTATTGATGATTATTAAAGAAAGGTTTGGGTATATTTTTTGAAATGCAAGAGTGATGTTTTTGGGACTTTCAAGCAATGGAAAACTTAGATTGAGAAACAGACAAGCAAGAAAGTCAAGCGTCTCAGAACAGATAATGGTTTGGAATTTTGTGGAGGTGAATTTAATGAGTTTTGCAAAGATGAAGGCATTGTTAGGCATCGTAC